CTGTTGTACATGTTCTTATGCGTAAATCTTCAGATTATTTCTTTGGGATCCAATCCCAGAAGTGGGCCAGAAGCGCAAGCTTCAACAGGCTTTGGTTCAGTTAGGAGGGTGGTGGAGGCTGAGGAGGCTCAGAGAAGTAGGTGAGATTTGAGCCTGCTGGGGGGGGGAGGGGTGAGTCAACCCTCCATCCCTCCAGAGCATTATTGGGTGAGGAAGGGCTAAGGTGACCCCTTCCCGCTGCTTTAGGTCCCCAGGGCAGTGTGGAGCCCTTTCCTATATGGCTTGGTCCTGTATGTGCCTCTGTGTGGTAGCCTACAGTTTGGGGTGCCCCCCATCAGCCCTTTGGATGCACTAGCTTGGTGGCTTATGCAAGGCCACTCTGCTACCAAGCCAGTCCTTGGGATCTGATACGTGGTCAAGTCAGGGTCTCAGATCCACAGAGGGGTCCACAGCCACAGACGATGCCCTGTGATTGATCTGCAGTGTGGCGAACTGTGCCACCTCGTGGGGCTTCACAGAGGCTCCTCCAGGTAACCAAGAGGAAGGGCCCGATGACCTCTCTCCTGTGGCTCAGGGGTCCATGTCCCAGGCTGCTGTAGTGCAGTACCAGGGACAGGATGGCCCGACAACACACCCATTCTCTCTTAGTTCTGGAATTTAAATTCAAGGTGTCAGTGGGGCCTCACTTACACTCCGGGAGGGCACCTCCTGCCTGTCCCAGCAGCTGTGGCCCTTGGCCTTCCTTGGCTGGGGGCTGCCTCACTCGGATCACCAACTCTGTGTCCTCTGGCTTCTCTAGCTCTCAGATAATCTTGTATGTTCCCTTTTCAAGGACTCTGGTGCCTGTCCCAAATCCAAAATGTTCTTTTTTTTTTTTAAATATATAATTTATTTTTATTTTACATGCATTGGTGTTTTGCCTGCCTGTACGTCTGCGTGAGGGTGTCAGATCTTGGAGTTACAGACAGTTGTGAGCTGCCATGTGGGTGCTAAGAATTGAACCCAGGTCCTCTGGAAGAGCAGTCAATGCTGTTAACTGCTGAGCCATCTCTCCAGTCCCTCCAAAATGTTCTTTTCTTGATTACACCTATAAAGACCCCTTTTCTACAAGGTCACCTCCTCAGGCTTTGTGGGGATAGCACTTGTTGTGGTCTTACCCCTTTTCTACAAGGTCACCTCCTCAGGCTTTGTGGGGATAGCACTTGTACAGGTCTTTTTGGGGGAGGGGCTGCTTTAAGCCACTGCACAACCTTTGAAGAAAGTGGAGCTTATGGGGCTCCTTAGGGGTGAAGATGATGCCTCCCTGCTCCCAAGGCCCTTCTGGGCCCCATGCCTGCAGTTAGACGCCCGTGGCCACACTGTCAGAGTTTGATGAGGTGGTGGCGATGCTGCCGGTAGTCCGTGTCTGGTCCTGAGTGTACTTGCTGAAGCCAGTGGTGCGGGGCAGGAGTGCTGTGAGCAGCGTGGGATCCAGGAAGGCTGGAAAGAGCTGGCTTGAGAACCTGATTCGTCGTCTGAGGAGGAGGACAGGTGCTTATCTGTATCTGAGGATGGTCCCGAGCCAAGGCACTCTCCCCCTGTCTGTGTGCACATTTATAGATGGCCAAGGGGCCTAGGGGCCTTGAGATCACGGGTGACTGAGGCCCATGGATTTGCAATTTCGTTCAGCTCGGCTACATTTTGCTTTGGGCCAGCATTCACAATCAGCATGGAAGTGTAGACAGCTGGCAGACAGTGTACACACAAAGTCAAAGGCTCCATCCCCATTGCTGAGGATACAGGGGAGGAGGAGGAGGGGGGGATAGGGGGATGGGAATAGCTGCACTTTATGATTGGGGGTTGTATCTGAGTGGTAGGACACATTTATGTGACATACACAAAGATACTAAAAAAAAAAAAGGACAAAGAATTCTAGGGTATTATTTATTATAATACCTGGGTTTCCAAATTTATTTACCGAGCACAGTAGTGCTCCCATGTAATCTGAGCATTTGGTGGAGACAGAATATCAGTAGTTCAAGGTCAGCCCAGCTACAGATTGAGTCTGAGGTCAACCTACACGAGTCTGTCTGGAAGAAAAAAAAAAAAAAACAAGAAAAATCAGTTAGTTGATATCAGTAGGAATCATAAAAATCCAGTGTTCTGGATTGTGTTGGAAGGTTAGATACTCCGGTTGCCTCAGGCAGAGCTGTAGGTTCCCCAGAGACCCATACGATACCCTGGAGTCCACATTCACGCCGCCCCAGGCCCAGCCAGTCAGCTGATGGTAACTGCCCCTTCCTGGGCATCTGGGATGGTTGAACACAGCAGCCCAGGACTTCGCTCCCTTCTGTGTCCACCAGAAGCAAAGGGTTACCAGGGCTAGAAAGGGATCCCCACAGGAGAGCTCCAACCTGGGGAGCCAGGTTCCAAGTTCCTCTGTGGTGTAGCACCACACGGTACAGTGTTGTCCTTACCACGGCAGCAGGGCCTGCTTGCAGGCTCATCACGAGTGGGCTGTTGGCATTCCCTGGAGAAGGAGAGAGGTGGGGATGGCCTTGGCTCCTCACCTGAGACTGTAGCCACTCCTCCCAGCTACTTGTAAGCAATTCTGCCACAGTTGCTCTTGGGGGTATCCAGAGGGGCTAGTGTGTGTAGGCTAGAGAAAGTTGGCTGAGGGGGCTCCGTTTATGTGGCTGTGGGGACGCCATCATTTATTCTGGGTGAAGGGTTTCTAGTATGGCTGCTTTGGGGTGACCCATGCTCCCGCAGGTCACCCCTCACCTCACCAGTTCCCCAGGGACAGCTTCGGGATCGTATTTTAGTTTGTTGTTGGGACCTTGGGAGACATTGTTCATGTTTCCCAGGGAAGAATTCTGACACGGGCAGCGTGCGTGCGTGTGTGCGTGCTGTGTGTAACACGCTCACCCAAGTCGACCTTAGTTGTTTTTGAGTCAGGGTCTCATTGACCTGGAACTCTCTTAAGAGGCTCGGTTCATTAGACAGGGAGTTGTGGGACCCACCGAGCTCCACTTCCCCAGCGTTGGAATTACAAGGGTGGACCCCCATACTTGGCTTTTTAAAATGTAGGTTCTGGGAACATTTTACTGACTTGACTTCTTCAGTGCATGCCTTGTCCTAGCCTGTAGTCTTCTAAAGAAAGACTGGTACTGTAGCCCTGAAGGTGGGGGTGGAGTGGGGTGGGGTGCTTGCATTTGGAGAAGGCTGGAGGCAGGGAGGTACATTTGAGCCTGGAGCTGTTGCTAGGGGCTGGTCCTTTTTGCTGTGGGAAGGAAGAGGACACCATGGTGTCCCATGAAATCTGAGTTCTGGGGCTGCTGGAGGCAGCATTGTCTGGAGGCAGCGCTGTGGAGTGTCCTGCCATGTGGGCCCTTCCCGCTCTGTGTCTGGCTAACCTAAACAGCTGGTTCTCATTTTTCTGGTGGCTGCAGAGACAAGAGGCTCCCCAGCCACCACCCTGCTGCTCTCCTGGGAACAGACACAGTAGCGGTGTCAACATGGCTGAGTGGAAGCACTGGGCCCCAAGGTGGGAACTGGGTGGTTAGCACCCTGCACGGCCAGGAGTACTGGTGGACAGGGTCCAGACTGACGAGGGAGCAGGCTGTTGAGGGGTTACTTACAGCCTTGGTATCAAAGAGACAGGTGCTGTGGTTCCATGCTGTTGGGCACATCACAGGGTGTCCTCTGCTAAGGAAATACTATTCTTTTTAAAATTACATGTATTTATTTAGTTATGTGTGCATGTGGGTGTCCCTGTGTGAATATGTGTACCACACGCACGCAGGAGCTTGCAAAGGTCAGAAGAGACACTGGATCCCCTGAAACTGGAGTTATTAGTTGTAAGCTCTACTATGGGAGTGGTAGGAATCGAACCCAGGTCCTGTGTCAGAGCAGTAAGTGCTCTGCACTTCCGAGCCATCTCTCCAGCCCCAGGAATAATATATATATTATTATATATTAATATATAATAATATCTTGAACTCACAGAGATCCACTTGCCTCTGCTTCCTGAGTGCTGGGATTCAGGGTGGGCGCCGCCACTGCGTGGCAAACAAGAATAATACTCTTTCTAGCACAGCTGTTGAGGCGTCACGGGGTGTCACTGCTCTGTGGATGGCGGTGCTCTATTGGCTGATGGGGTCTGGGTATGTTCAGGGGAGGAGAGGAAGAAGGGAGGAAAGCCACAGGAGAGAATCTCAGGAGTCCTAAGAGCATCCTATGTCTGTCTCTAGGGGGAGAAGCTGTGTGTCTGGGCTGTGGCCGCAGCAGAACAGGCAAGGCTGCCTTCCTCTCAGGCCAGCCTCCAGATAGTTGGTGCTCTGTGGGAGGTCCTACAATGCACTTGTCTGTTTCATTGCTGGATTTTCTTATCCCACCAGGTCCCGCCCCCTTTAGCCCCAAATAAGCATGCAGATGCTATATTAATTATTAAAGTGTTGGCCGATGACTAGGGCTTCTTATTGGGTAGCTCTATCTTAATTATTAACCCTTTTCTATTAATCTATGTATTTCACGTGGTCTTGCCTTACCGGAGAATGCCCGGACCTGTTACTCCTTTGGTGTACCTCTCTGCCTCTCCCCAGCATTCTCCTCATCTCACAGCCCCGCCTATCTTCCTGCCTGTATTGGCCAAACAGTGTTTTAGTCATCAACCAATAAGAGAAACATAGATACAGAAGGACACGCCCATCATGTTTCTCTTATGGGTTAGCCGAAGGGGAGGTGGCTTTCTGAGTCCTTTGGCATCCCTGCCAGCATGCCTCTCTCTGTCCTTTTGTTTTTCCCCTTTGACCATGTTGGGTATCCATCACAGGACTTTGTATGTGGTAGGCAAGTACTCCTCCACTGAGCTGTCTCTATCCCTGGATGTTAAGGCAACAAGTTCTCACAAAGTTACCTATGCTGGTTTTGAACTTGCAGCACAGGCAGGCCTTAAAACACAGAACGTATCACATAATGCCAGTGTGCGCACCACATCCACTCTTCTCTCTCTCTTTCAGCCTTAAAGAGATCGTTTGAAGTCGAGGAGATTGAGCCACCCAACTCCACGCCACCCCGGAGAGTCCAGACCCCTCTGCTCCGAGCCACAGTGGCCAGCTCCAGCCAGAAATTCCAGGACCTGGGCGTGAAGAACTCAGAGCCTGCGGCTCGCCTTGTAGACTCCCTGAGCCAGCGCTCCCCCAAGCCGTCCCTACGGAGGGTGGAACTGGCAGGGCCCAAGGCGTCTGAGCCCATGTCTCGTCGCACCGAGCTCTCCATTGACATCTCCTCCAAGCAGGTGGAGAGCACAGGCTCAGCTGCTGGGCCCTCAAGGTTCGGGCTTAAGAGGGCAGAAGTCCTGGGCCATAAGACACCAGAGCCAGTCCCTCGGAGGACGGAGATCACCATAGTCAAGCCTCAGGAGTCAGCGCACCGCAGGGTGGAGACCCCTGTCTCCAAGATCCCCGAGGTCCCTGCCGTGCCTGCCACTGATGCAGCCCCCAAGAGGGTAGAGATCCAGGTGCCCAAGCCAGCCGAAGCACCCAACTGCCCACCCCCGCCCCAGACCCTGGAGAACTCCGAGGCACCAATGTCTCAGCTGCAGAGCCGGCTGGAGCCCAGGCCCCCTGTGGCTGAGGTCCCATACCGAAACCAGGAGGGTAAGTAGTAACCCAGGCTGGGTCTTCAGGCTGTGAACTTGGAATGGGGTCTTTCATTGAGTTTCCAGGAGGAGGCATACACATTTGCGTGTGTGTGTGTGTGTGTGTGTGTGTGTGTGTGTGTGTGTACTTGGATGTGCAGAGTTGTGTTCCAAGGCTCGGGTCACAACAGGAGCCTGCAGTTGGAAGCACCTCTGGGGCACCAAGCTCCTGGTGGCCACCAGTTGGGCCATACCAGAGCTCTGTCATGTGATCCTGGAACTGGGAGGCCTGGGAGGCTAGAGTTGGTGCTGGAGCCACGGTGCTCTCCCGTGGGACAGGGAACAAGCCATGTGCTGGTGATGGCTAAGTTGCTGGCTGGGCTTCTGGGAGGGAGGGAGATCTGGTGGGCTTCAGATCTCTGCCAGTGAGGAATTGTGGCCTGAGTGCCTGTTAGAGGGTCAGAGCTGAGAACTGGGGGTAGGGGGTGGGGACACAGACGGGCATGGGGATGGGACCGGGGGAGGAGGAATGTGGGTCCTGAGGTTTGCACTGGAGGCCTCCTGTCCTCCTGTCCCTCTGATCTGGCCTTCCTTCCTATTTGAGTGACTCTTCTCATTGCAGGAGGGGTTTCTTTTAGCTCGTGGTTCCCGTGGGTGTTGTCATCATGGCAGGGAAAGCATGACAGCATCGGCATAGTCACAGTCACGGTGCTGATCTCTGCTCGTTACTGTTAAATTGTAGGGAAACACACACAGCATACATTGGCTGTTGTGTGAGAGTGTGCGGTTAAGTGCTGTTAAGCCCATTCAGGTTGTGCCACCAGTACCACCTCCAGGGTTTTCCAGAATTTTCCCACATCCCAAACAGAAACTCTGCTCCCCATTCTGTCTGAGATTGGATGACACAACTCATCCTGTCTGGCATAGTGGCCTCAACATTCGTCCATATTATAGCCTATGTCAGAACTTTGTTCCTTTTAAAAACTAAATAGTATTACATGTGTGGACAGAACACATCCCTCCCCCGTAATGGGATTTGAACCCAGGGACTTGTGCATACCAGGCAAGTGCTCTACCACTGAGACACGTGCCCGACCTCAGGTGGAATCAGTTTGTCCACTGATGAACCCTAGGTTGTCTCCCACCACTTGGCTCTTGTAAACAATGCTTGCAGCACAGTGATGCACATAGCTTCTCTAGTGGTTGGTAGACTTGGGACCAGGCTGAGGTGAGGGTGCCGAGCTCCTCCTGGAGCCTCTGGGTCTGGGGACCTGGGGCTCGGCCTTCTTAGAGTGTCAGGAGTCAGGTCACAATAAATACTCAGGGGTTCATGAACCTTTGTGGGGTCCTTGCAGGCCTGGGTGTGTGTCTGTGCCTTTCTCCCTAAGCCCTAAACTTGACCCTGCTGAGAGGTGCTCAAACTCAGTGTCCAGACTGCAGGTCAGGGAAACAGAGGCTCCAGGCGTAGTTGAGTAGAGGGGCCAGTGTCCTGTTTTTCCTTCATGGTCCTGATTGGTTTGAGACCTCCAAAGACACCAGATACATCTCTCTCCTGAGATGAGATGTTGACACTGCTGACTCAGACAGGATGTGGTGGGAGAGAGAGACAGCTGCACCAAGTCACCCAGCTGTTGATCCCAGCTGGTGCTGGCTGCATGGAAGGTGGAAGGTGGCCCTGAGCCTAGGGTGGGGTGCGGAATGTCTGCTTGAGGACACTGTTTGTCCTCTGGGGAGGGTGCAGCTCAGATACAGCACACAGGCCTGTGCCAGGCCCTGAGCCTCAGGGACGAGTCTGCAGCCTCTGCCCTTGGTAGCTTGTGGGCAGATGGTGGGTGGACCATGAAAAGAACCCTGTGGAAACCTGTTGGGGAGGGCAGGAATTGAGTAGGTCAGGGCGAAGAAAAGTGTGTGTGTGTGTGTGTGTGTGTGTGTGTGTGTGTATGCATGTGTGCGAGTGTGTGTGTGTGTGTGTGCGTGTGCATGCATGCATGTGTGCGAGTATGTGTGTGGGTGGAGGCCAGGTGTCATTCCTCAGGAGGCATCCATTTTGGTTTTGTTTTTTAGATATATTTATTTTATTTTATTTTATGTGTGTGATTGCTTTGCCTTCATGTATGTCTGTGTACAATGTACATGCCTGGCACCTGCAGAGATCAGAAGAGAGCATCAGACCCTCCAAATTTAGAGTTGAGGATGGTTGTGAGCCACTATGTGGGTGCTGGGACCAAACAAGTGCTCTTAACTTCTGGGCCATCTCTCTAGCCACCTTTTTTGGAGACAGGGTCTCTCATTGGGGTCTGGGGTTTGCCTGTTATGCTGGCTACCCCCCCCCCATCCTCCTGACTCTACCTCTCCAGTGCTAAGGCTGTAAGTACTGGCTGTGGGTGATGGAAATAAGTTAGGCCCTTACACTTACGCAGCAGCATTTGTCATTGCCTGAGCACCCCAGCCACCCCCAGTTACCCCTCCAGCCACCCCCAGTTACCCCTCTAGCCACCCCAGCCACAAGGACAGCCCTTCATAGTCATCTAGAGCCCCAAGATGGTGCAGTTCCTTTAGGCAGAGGGCCGGCCAGGGAGAGGCAAGGCAGGCGGGGCCTTCCCCAGGGAGCCTATTGGAAATCATATCTGTGCCCCTGGGGGGCCTTGCCTCTTATTTCCTGACCTCCAACTTCTCCTCCAAAGCTACAGTTTCATTCTCCATTCTCCACTGGTCACCCACCCACGGGGTCTCTTGGTGCCCCTGCTGAGCTTTTCCTGGCCTGACACCATAGCAGGGTTCTTCCTGCTCCCTAACTGTACCTGCCCAGCTCTTCTTTGGGTTTCCCACCCCTTCCTTGCAAGCCCTCACTCTGACCTCCTGAAATCCAGTTTTGCTTTGTCGAACTCCTACACACCCCTCAAATCCCTACCCATTCTTGCCTGCAGCTGGAAACAGCCTCCCTTCCAACGACTTTGAGGACTTTGTGTTTTCCTAGGATGTAAATTATTTGTGTATGAACCATCTTTTCTCTGCTAGCTTCTTCCTCCAGTACAGAAACGGATTTCCATAGGACAACAAGTAATTTACTGTTCTTCAAAATGCAGAAAATGTGAACATTATGAAAAAGCTAAAATATAAGCTTCCATCAGCCCCAACGTTCTGCCGTAGTCTTCAGAATTCAGGCAGAAGGCTGGAGTCCTCGGGGCAGGGCTCGGGCTGCTGTCTGTTTTTATAGAGTACCGTACGGTGACTAATAAGACTTGGACATGGCAGATGCCCAATAAAATACTGGTGATGACTGGTTGGTGGTGACCTGGGCACAGCATTTTGGTCGCTGCCCCAGACATCTTCAGGGATCCCACAGGACCTCCAAGGGACCAAGATGCTTCTTGCAACCTCTTCCCAGGGGTCCTGTTACCTGCCCCACAAACTTGCTTGTCCCTGCAGTGCTGGGGGCAGGGCAGAAATGAGTCACCCTCAGGGTGCACTAGGGAGGGAGGGTGTCCCTGGCAGAGCCCTCGAAAGACTGCAGGGACCTAGCAGCGGGGAGGGGAAGCAGAGGCTCCCCGGCCTCGTTCTTCTATTCTGGGCCCTAGTGAGATCTTCCTATATACGGTGGGTTCCTGGTGGCACAGATCCCTGGGTGGTGATGGGATACAGAACTCTGCTGCCAGGGCAGGGTGCTGGCTCAGCCCCTCCAGCCTCCCTCTCCCCCCCCCCCCCCCTCGGCCCCCCAGCCACACCGGCGGCTCCCCAGGCTGCCTTATAAGGCAGGCGCCGCACTTGCTCACTACTCCTTCGTGGTCTGGTACCTTGCCTTCTCTGGTGCTCATGAGGCCCTGCCGAGTTCCTGGGTGTGTCCTGGCCGCACCCATGAACCCACCCACTGGTTCTGAGGCATCCCTTCCACTTCCCAGCCTGCCTCAGATTCTGGAGCTGCCTGGTTTCTTGCCTGGGAGGAGTGACTGACCTCCTCCTATGTGTCCCTGGGTGTTAGGTGTACATCAGTTCTGGGGACAGAGAGGGTAGAGGCCCCATACAGACTTCATTGTGGCATGGAGGGGGTTAATCATAGCACAGGCTCTCTGAGGCCGCCCAGTGGGTCACAGAATAGGGGAACCCCAGGACAGGAAAGTCCGGTCCAGGGTGGGGAAATGTACCAGTTCCAGCCTAGGGACTTGAATATCCCACAAGTTGGGGTATCCCGATGGGGAGTGGGCAACCACCATGAGAACTGGTGAGGAGGCACCTCAGCCTCTGTATTTTCAGGACACTCTTCAGGCTGTGGGGACCCCAGGACTGTCCATGGTCTGTGACTTTCCTCAGGGTGGGTTTCTTCTTCATCTGCAGCTCAAGTCTTAGGGTGAGAGCCTGTTCGAGCTTCATTGGGTCAGCAGAGATAGCTCATGGGGGGGTGGGTGGAATGGGGAGCTTCCTGCATTTCTTCTGGAGAGATCCAGCCATATCTGCAGGAGGGTCTTTCCCACCAGGCCATCGTCACACCAGCGTGACCTTCTGCTCCCTGCCTGCCACAGTGGCCATCCTGTTCTGGGACTGGATGTCTTTCCCTCCTATGAACAGGCACGTTCAGTCTGAGGTGTTCCAGACTGTTCCCACTTAGGCCAAGTTAGGAAACTGGAGGGCTAGGGGGAAGAGTGGTTAGGCCAGTTGTGTCTCCTTCAAGGTGGAGGCAGACAGACCCTGGCTCTGGGGTCCAGGCAAAGTCTCTCTTTGGCTGCCTACCCAGCTGTCTGCCGCCCAGCTGTCTGCAGAGCCAAGGGTGCAATGATGGGGGAGAAGCCAGGCCCCTCTACGGATGGCCCAGCAGCTGTGGAATACCTTAAATAGAGAGAGACAGCTGCCTGTGGCATGCCTGCCTGGGGGACGGGTCCTGCTCCACCCCTCCAGTTCTGTGGCTGAGACTCTGACCACCCAGTGGTGCTGGGGATTGAGCCTGGCCCCAGCACATGGCCTTCCCCCCGCCCCCCTCCCCGCCCCCCCAGCCACACCTACATGAGGCAGTTGCCTGAGGAGGAA